TCCTTTCAGCTTCACGGGATTCGTTTCCACGGTAGACAAAAGTGCCTAAAAAAAAAAAAGTGCAAAAGTGGAAGGCGTGCGGAAGAGGGGGCGAGTATATAACAAACTATATTTTGAGTGGAAATGTTGGGGGGTCGTCTTATACGCCGGGTCGTCTTATACGCCGGCATATACGGTACTTTCCTACAGAGCTTAAAAATTACATAAGGTCTTTTTGAAATAAAAGGCAAGAATTCTCTATCTAGTTTTCTCCCTCCAAGGTTTGTTTTACTGAAGCTTATTTAACCGGGTACATTTGGAAATAGATTTATCAATGTCTACTGTTAATATAGAAAAGGCCTTTTTTATATCAAAACTAAACATAAATAAATGAGGATTAACATGTAGATCTCTGAATGAGACTTCCAGCTCCTAAATGTTCAGCAAGAACATTTAGATCTACTGTATTTTAGTTAGAATCCTGATTATGTTCAAACATGCAAATCTGGTAGGAATAAATATTGTTGCCAGAAATGTTCTACTTATATTTTTATAATTATAACCAGTAATCACCATAAGATTCAAGAATCTTTTTCAAAGGATTGAATAAATATTGTGCTTTGAATTTGGAGTATATGATAAAATGCAGTTATAGGTCTGGGAGAAAAATGGTATTTTAAGAGAATGTAAGTGTCTTTCTTTGCTTTCAGGCGCAATGCATATATTTAAAAGTCAAATAGCATTTTATGTTAAAGGTCCAGGTTTGTATGAAGGAGAAAGAGAAAGAGACAAACAGACAGATTCTAGGATTAAAAATAGGTCAGAGATTTAAGAATTGAACTGGATCCTGGGATATGATAGGTATTGATAGGGGAGCCTAGGTTAGTCATCTTTATTTGTTGCATATTGTAGATAATCCAAATTTCACAAATACTGCCATTGTCACTACTGTCTAAACCAAGGGTCTTCAAATTTGACAGCTTTAAGACCTGTGGACTTTAACTCCCAGAATTTCTGAGCTAACATGACTGGAGGAGGAATTCTGGGAGTTGAAGTCCACAGGTCTTAAAGCTGTAAAGTTTGAAGACCCCGGTCTAAACTATAAGCAGAATTTTCTAAATTTGCACCTAAATATGAAAACTACTATGTCAAAAAGTCATACAAATCTCTATTCTTTGGGGGAAGGAGATTAAAAAAATATATTTCTATAGACAGAACTATTCATCTGCCAAATTTGTATATCACCATAATCAAAATGAGTGAATAGAATTTCTATCTCTTACATTGCTTTCTAAGCAAGACAGAGCAATTGATGGCAACTAAAAAGATAAATCTGGGTATGGTTCTTTGCCATTTAGACTTACCTGGATCAAATCTCTTATCCTTGACACTGTAAAAATCTGTGTAAGAAGATATCACAATAGGGACAATGGGGACCTAAAGGATAAAAGGCAATTGAAAGAAGGTTGGAGAAATACATGAGTTTTTTCCTCCCTTGTGACAGTCTTTTTCAGTCACAATGTTTACAACAACTTTCACTAATCTAACTATCTCTAGATGTATGGACTTCCAGAATTCCCTCATCAATGTGGGCATAGCTGACAGTTTTAGAAGTTGGAGTACATATATCTGGAAAATGTCCAGATAGGTAAAGATTAGGTTTATGCCTTTTCTGAACAGGTTTATAAAGCTTTAGATAGTACTTGTAATTGATTAGAAACAGACATTTTAAGTCAAGTCAATAAATTTCCTTATTTCTCCCTTTTCTGTGGAAATTAATTCTACTTCATGTATTAGGTGAAGTGGGTGCTACTCCATGAAACATATACTCTATGACAGCTTTCTTCAAACCACTGAGGTCCTATTGGTTTAATTTACAAGCTCTGTAACTCCTGGTCAATATGGCAATGTTGAGTGGGAATTATGAAAGACCATATCTGGATGTCGTTAGAATCACAAAACAAGCAAAAGGATTTTTTTTGCCTACATGAACCTGAAAAGAGGTGCTACTTCAATGAAAAGAGATATTACACTTGTGCAAGTTCCAAAGCGTCTTTCCAAATAATGTGCCCAGCCTTAATATATATGCCTCAGCAGTACCTGGATGTCTGTGCCTAGGCTTGAGAGCTAAAGTTCAGGTTAGTAGTTGAAAAGGAGACCACTAAGAAATCCCAGGATTGTAAGATAGGGTTGGAAATTAAAAACAAACAAACGCCTCGAGGGGAGGCAAAGCTACACCACTGTTGTATTGTTCCAAGATAACTGCTAGATGTATCATCAGGAATTAAGCTCTACCTGAAAACATCTTACTTTTGCTTCTGCTCCAATAAGCTTTTTATCCATATGTTAAAATGAAAAGGAAAGAAGGAAAACAAAGTCTACGGTAATTTTATTTTACTCATATATACTCACAATTTCTCAAAAATATTTTACTAATCTCTCATAAATCTGAACTGTAGTATTTCAGCACTTGGCATCTATAATGGGAAATGGGAAAGGCTTTGGGTGGGAGCTTGGGTAAAGAGGCATTTCCGGTGTCAGATAAGAACCCATAGCTGGGTAGTAGGCAAGGAAAGAGGCTCAGAAGAGACCTAGTTTCTTAGACAGTAAAGGAAACTGGTGAATTGACTTTCAGACTTGTAAGATAATCCAGTCAATGTAGCATGACAATAAAGTAGAACTAACTCATGTTTGTAATTTCTAGCTGGTTTACTCTGCAATACTGAGTTAGAATTTCCCTCTTCCCCAGACATCAACTTCATTTTCAGGAACTTTTTACCTGAGCCTTTACAGCCAAGTGAAAGGCACCCCGCTTGAAGGGAAGCATGGTGTCCTCTCGGTTCCTGGTGCCTTCTGGATAAACCCAAATCCTCAGCTGGGTTGGTGAACAGCAGGGGAAAACAAAAAAAACCAGCAATTACAATTTGAAGAGTGCAGCCTGTCTTCTGAAAACATTCCAGCTCTTATTCAGCTATTTTGTTTAAAGAATTGCCCTATAACTCAGAAAAGAAATGGCATGCCCATTGCACAGTCTGGCTCATTTCTCAATCTGCTACTTCCTATGCTAACTGCCCCAGGTTGGGAAATGGTGAAGGGAAAGCATGCAAACTGGGCTCAAGTCCCAAGGAAGAACCATCAAATGACTAGGTCCCAATAAAAAAAGAATAATATTAGGGATATTTTAAGATAGACAAGTAGAGGCTCTCTGCAGCCTTCCTGTTGAATTAATAAAAGTCAGAAAATCTGGGAAAAGTCTTCTATATTACTCATCTTTACTGGTTCTCAAAAATAGCTGGATTTTCCCCCTTAACTCATCCTCTCACTCCATGAATAAACAACATGCTACCTATGAATAAATCACTCCCGATTGGTATCAACAGTCTCCTCACCCACCTCATTTCTTAAACATTCTTTCAAAATAAGGAAGATAGAAACATATTTTGCAAAGGACTTGCAAGGATATTAGAAATCATCAGGTGGGAGAGGGAAGGACCTCTTTCATCTTTTGATAAAGTTAAACAAGTGTTTAGTGAGGGACCATGGCTAGAGTGGCAGCCATTTTGAGAACAGAGCAGTTTTCCAGAGGAGACATTTTGTGATGCCCAACCTCAATCACTCATCTTTAAATTCTAAATGAATAGCAGGTCTAAGGTTCTTATTCTAATTTTTCCCCCTCATAGTAGTAGATCTGATTCCTGAAAGGCACAGTCCAAGAGTAGTATGCTTAGATTGTCATTGCCTTCCTGTGTTTGGTAAAGGTTGCATCAGTTAAAGGCCTGGGGATATTAGGAGGGGAGGTAGAAAATCTCTTCCTGATTTCAGGACACCCTGCTTTGAATGCCTCCATATTAGCAATCCCCAGCTTTGCCCATTTGCTCCTCTGAAATGAACTTTCCCACACACCCAATCCCATTCTCTATAACACACTAAATACCACCATCTGTCTTTTACTTAGACAGAGAGAACCAAAATTGAGATAATAGTGGCAGAACTGTGTCCTTCAAGGCAGTTGAGCTTCTGGTAACTACATGGACATATTTGTGTTATTTATTTGGCATCAAATATGAACATGTTTTGCTAGTGCTATGTTCTGGGGTAATTTTCTAATTTCTCAGTCTAGTCAACTTTAGGATTTTCTAGCAGTCCACCATCCAAGACCTGCCTGGCTGTAATCCTGCTTTGACATTCAGTCAGGTTGGCAAGAGGTTGCAATAAAATGAATCATTATTCAGATATAATGAGATATACTGGTTTCTTCCATTTGTGGCCATTGAGGTATAATATATTCAGTGGCTAATGTTTAAGACATGATATAGAATAGAATAACAGAGTTGGAAGGGATATGGGAGGTCTTCTAGTCCAACTCCCTGCTCAGGCATTTCAGAGAAATGGCTGTCCAATCTCTTCTTAAAAACTTACTGTGTTGGAGAATTCACAATTTCTGGAGGCAAGTTGCTCCACTGGTTAATTGTTCTAAATGTTCAGAAATTTCTTCTTAATTCTAGGTTGCTTCTCTCCATGATTAGTTTCCATCCATTGCTTCTTGTCCTGCCCTCAGGTGCTTTGGAGACTAGCTTGACTCCCTTTTCTTTGTGGCAGCCCTTGAGATATCAGAACACTGCTATCATGTCATCCCTAGTTCTTTTTATTAAACTAGACATACTCAATTCCAGCAACCGTTCTTTATATGTTTTAGCCTTCAGTTCCCTAATCATCTTGTTGCTCTTCTCTGCACTCTTTCTAGAGCCTCAACATCTTTTTTACAACCTGGTGACCAAAACTGGATGCAGTATTCCAAGTATAGCCTCACCAAGGCATTATAAAGTGGTATTAACACTTCACATGATCTTGATTCTATCCCTTTGTTAATGCAGTCTAGAACTATGTTGGCTTTTTGGCGGCTGCAGCACGCTGCTGGCTCATATTTAAATGATTGTCTACTAGGCTTCCAAGATCTCTCTAACGGTTACTACTATTGAGTGAGGTACCACCTATCCTGTACCTGTGCATTTGATTTTTCTTGCCTAAATATAGAACCTTACGTTTATCACCATTGAATTTCATATAAAAGAAGTGTGGTGAAGAAGCTAATTTTTTTATAGTAAGATGGTAACATAAATTAGCTTCCTTTACATTCTCACCATTAATAGTATTGGAACTAAGTTGAGAATAATAGTGAAGGGAAAAAATAGAGGAGGCAATCATCTCCAAAAGCATCCGTATATCACTTTGTCCCTTCCAGTTAAGTGAGCAAGGTAGGTTCAAAGAGCTAATGGTCCTTTAACAAAGACATACACACAGTACATAGGAGCATTCCTGATTTCAGGGTTCCTTCCTCTGCAGACAAAAGAGGTTTAAGGTAATTTGATCTCTTAAAAGCATTTGTTTTAGTACATATAGAATGCAGATTTTAAAGCAATCTTTCCCAAGCAGGTGTCACCCAGGAGTGATGGACTTCAAATACCATAAACCTCAATTAGCAAGATTTTCATGATAAAGGATTAAAGTCCAACATCCAGCCATTGAAGGTGAGTGGGGAAAACACTTGGAGAAAAGGAAGTTGCCATATACCAGGTCAGATTTTCAGTCCATTTAGCCAAGTCCAATCTTCTCTGGCTGGTAATGACTCTTCAAGATTTCAGTCAGAAACTGACTTCTCACTTACTCCTTCTAATTGTAAATACTACAGTAGAACGTGGGATCTTCTATAAACAATGTATATAGTTTTCACCTTGAAGACTAGTCTATACCAACAACTGCAGCAGTTTTCCAACAATACTTGGAACTCCCCCATTTTCATGCTTCTGCCAGAATAAAACCATATTCACAAATTTCTCTCTCAGTGCTTACCGTCTCATATTGCATCCTCTCTGCAAGGTGTTCTAAGGTGGCCCTTGCTTGGTGCTTCTTCTTGCGATCAATGAAAACTAAGCTGCATAACCAACCAGAAAGGCCCAGAGGCCCCCAGTATAACAGCTCTTTTTTGGTAATTGGTACACAGCGTTCTGGCAGGATCTCTGCCATTGCTAGAGAAAGAAAAGAAAGAAAAAGAGAGGGAGAAAAGAAGGAAGAGAAAGAAAGAATGAAAGAGAGAGAGAGAAAAGAAAGAGAGAAAGAAAGAAAAAGAAAAGAGGAAAAGGAAGGGAGGGAGGGAGAAAGAAAGACAAACAAACAAACAGACAAACAACAAACAAACAAAGAAATTAGAATGTCATGGCTCAAATAATCTGAACAACCAAATGTATTATTTGCTAACATAGCTCCTAAATCAACCTTCTAGGTAATTTTGTGGTTGGGAAGAGAGGAAGACAAAATCATTTAGTCTGGGTTTACAAACTGTAGTAAGCAATAATGTGATTTGTTTTATTTGTATGAACTCAGTCATTGTAGCTTATGAAATACATATTAAACAAACAAATAAATTGGTAAATGATTCAAAACTACTGAAAACCTGGATGACTTTTGCGATAGACAGTGGCTTGGGGAGATTGTCTTGTGAATTTAACCTTGTTTGTAATGTTTGTAAAAATACAACTCTTTTTTTCTCATTCAGGTGTTTGTTTTATCTCTGTCTATTTCCTTTCCTCTATTTCCTTCCTGCTTTACTTCCCACCCCTCAGAGTTCCCATAGGTCTTGGGCCTGCTTTTCCACCCATTGGGATCCTGCAGTCTTTTCCCTATTCCTATAGGAGAGAACAGTCACAAGAAACTGTTGTGTCAAAATGGCAGCCACTTCCAGGATGCAGCTATGTAATTTAGGGATGGAATGGTCTTCTCTGTTTCCTTAATATAGACTCTGAAGCTTACTGCAGTGCTGTACAGAGTGCATTAGAGAAGCAAAATTGACTTTTGTCCCTGGGTTGGGTGGTTGCATTCCAGAAGCAGCAACCATTTTCAGATCAGTCACAATTTCTTCTGGCCGCTCAAAAAAATAGCGACCACTTCTGGGATGTGGCCACACAGCACAGACAAAATGGGATAAAGTGACCTGCCCTTCTTCTCTAACATTAAATCCAGAGCCTCTGTTCTTCTTATTTTTGAAAAGTAAGTGTACAGTGGGGGAGGGGAGAAGGATGTGAGGACTTGCAGGGTGAAAAGTGGGTCTAAGGCTCATGGGGACCAGTGAGATAAAAAAAGTAGACTCAAAGTCTGTGGGACTCAGTGGGGTAGGATGGAGGGGTTGAGATAGATAGGGGCCTGCTGCAGCATCCCTGTTGACAGTTGTAAAAACGAATTATTGTAGGGGTACTCCAGCTTTCATTACTTCAAAATGGGTTGTAAGTAGCTTTTGGAGGGGTCTGTCATAACTCTGAAAGGTTACTAAGCAAACAGATACAGGACTACCTGTAACGGTGTGTTTTTAAATGCAACATAATAGTTGCTCTATGCAAATGGGAGTCAATATTAAGTGGCTACCTTATTTTACAGATAATCAGTTTTAATCAGTAATTTTTCAGTATGTTTTTTTTTCATGGCCTTGCCTTGAACAGTGGGTTGCTACCACTGGGTAGATACAACATATAATGTGATATATGCATACATTGATGAGGATAGCTGGGTAAGGGAATACTTCTAGAAATTGCATCAGCTGAAGTTGCTAACTTTAAGCTCATTAGGCCAGGGACATTACATGTGGTCTTTGCCTTCTTTGCCCTTTATTTTCTGTCTACTTTGAAGGTGATCTTAAATTAAAAGTTATCTTCCTATTTATATAGTATTGCATTTATCACCAGCAACTGAAGTGAGCATTATACAATGCTGAAAAAAACCACAGATGCATCAAGGTATGCATTTATATATATAGAAATTGCTTGTTATTTTGTTTAGAGATCAATAGAATTCCAGTAGAAAGTTCATACATAATGGTAATTATTTACAAACTTTCGATTGTTAAATTTCTAATACCATCCAGACACAAGCATTTTTTACCTTAAATTATAACTGTATAATTTGCCAAGTATATATTTATAAAAAGAAAAAAGATCAAGCAGGTAGATCTTTTGTCAATAATTTCCAACTTTAAGTTTGCAACTTTATCTGGATGCATCAAAATATTGCAAAACTCAGATTTAGGAATGTTTACTTTAGTGGGAGAAACATTTCTTTAAAACTGGAAGCTTCTATCTACTTAGATTCATCCTGTGCTTTTATCTTGCCTTCTATCCATGAAGAAAGGAGATCGAGAGGAGAGTATAAATAAGTGTCATTAATAACATTCAAATCATTTGGAATCTAATTCAAAACATTCATACAACATTCTAGATATGATAGCCTAGCCACGTACCAAGAAGATCAAAATTTGTCTGATGGTTGCAAACAATCACATATGATTGCTTGATATTGAAATTCTCAATACCCTGCACAGTGTATGTGATGTTGTAGATATATTTGAGTGGACGAATGCAGAAGCAAAGAAACCTGTAAAAGCAGAACACAAAAATATAATTTAGGGGAAAGTTCTCCAAAGTAGTCAATATTGACCCACTCCCAAAGAATCAAAGGGACTATTCATTATTGCTGTTATTACCATTATCATTATTCATAATTAAAGTAATATTACATTATTTTCATAAAAAAATGTTTGAGGGTTGATCAAGTAAAGAATTTGGGGACATGTTGTTTAGAGAACAAAGAACCTACTGCAACTCTTTGTTTCCTTTTCCATCTTGTATCCACTGCAGCTCACTTTATCAGATGCATAATATAGTGAAATGGTACATGGGAATGATCTTGCCAGGGTTGGAAGAGATGTTTCCCAAAGAAGAGGGGAAAACTCATAGCTGTTTAATGACCAGAGGAAAAAACTCAGAAAAGATCCTCTTCGACTTGCGAAGTTGAAAAAAGAGATGGTAGATTTGTACTTTCAGATTTGCAAGATTCTGGTAGTGTGTGTGTGTGTGTGTGTGTGTGTGTGTGTGTATGGATCTTTGGTTATTCGGGTTTTCTCCCGCGTAAGATTGGAAGTATCTAGGCAACATTTCGATGAAGTCTCATTCATCATCTTCAGGTGTGTTCTGTTCAGGTGGGGGCTTGGTTGTGCTCAGGTTAGTCTTAGTTGCTGGGGGATTTGAGCTGGTGAGCTGTGATCCTGTTGTTTGGCTTCGCGTTCGTGGTCGTGCCGCATCTTCATGGTGGGTGTCAGTTCGCTTCATGTATGGCTCGGAGGGGTTTGAAGCGGGTAGTGATGCAGCTGCAGTGCGGCTTCTGGTCCGTGGTCGTGTCTCATCTGTGTGGGTGTGAGTCTGCTTTCTACGTGGAAGTGTGGTGGTAGCATCTTGTGTGGCCCTCGTGGGTGTGGGTCTGGTGTCATGGGGTTTCTTTTTGGATTAGGTGGGTAATCTTCTTTCTTTGGAATCCAAAAAGAAACCCCAACCAAAATCCAAGACAGAGAACAAGAAAACGGCAAAGCCCTCCTCCCATATATAAAAGGCACTACAGACAAAATCAGCAAGATCCTCCAAAAACACAACATTAAAACAACATTCTGCACAAACAGAAAAATATCCACCATCCTAAGAAACCCTAAAGACAAAATCGAGTTAGAAAACCAAGGAGTATACGAAATCCCTTGCACCGCCTGCCCCACCACATACTTCGGACAAACTAACAGAAGAATAAGTGCATACATTGAAGAACATAAGAACTCAATCAAAAAAGAAGAACCACCTCAAAGCCACAAGACATGAGATTGACTTTAAAAATACCAAAACTATCGCCAAAACCGAACACTTCAACAACAGAATAATCAGAGAAGCCATAGAGATAGAAAAACGCCCACACATCATGAATAAACGAGAAGACACCTCCTGCCTACCAGCCATTTGGAAACCCGCCCTCACGAACAGACAAGTACCTAACATGAAGAATGACACCAGACCCACACCCACAAGGGCCACCCACCACCACACTTCCACATAGAAAGCAGACTCACACCCACACAGAAGATGAGACACGACCACGGACCAGAAGCCGCACTGCAGCTGCATCACTACCCGCTTCAAACCCCTCCGAGCCATACATGAAGCGAACTGACACCCACCATGAAGATGCGGCACGACCACGAACGCGAAGCCAAACAACAGGATCACAGCTCACCAGCTCAAATCCCCCAGCAACTAACCTGAGCACAACCAAGCCCCCACCTGAACAGAACACACCTCCAGCCAATCAGAACACGGCCAACCCCCCAACCAATCAGAACACAGCCAAACCCCCAACCAATGAGAACACACCCCCACCCAATCAGAACACAGCCAAGCCCCCACCCAATCAAGTCACACCCCCACTAGCAGTTAAAAGGAAGAAGCAGCTGCAAGCTCACATTACTCTGAGAAGCACAGAGCAGAAGACACAAGCCTGAAGATGATGAATGAGACTTCATTCGAAACGTTGCCTAGATACTTCCAATCTTATGCGGGAGAAAACCCGAATAACCAAAGATCCACATACAAATACCCGCGAGAACCTCAGAAAACAAATATATATATATATATATTCTCAGAGAAGCACAGAGCTGAAGACAGAAGCCTGAAGATGATGAATGAGACTTCATCGAAACGTTGCCTAGATA